CAGAGAGACCCGAGGAACCTGGGGCCAAGGGCACGAGGCAGGGGCAGTTTTCAGGAGTTACAGGGATTTCTGTCCCTGCAGCTGTACTTACACATGCAATAAAACTTCAAATGTGCTACTATCCTAGCTTGATATCATGGGCTAGCAAATCTTAAGGGCAAATTGTTAAGTCTGGTTGAAAATAGGATTTAATTCACCCAAAGCAGGGAGAAAATGACTGTGATGGAAATGCAGACACAGTCATGAAAGATCAATTATTCTGTAACTCAAGAGCGCTGTCTGGGGCCCAGGGTCCCATGTTTCCCTTATTAATCAAAAATAATTAAGCATGGCGATGGTTCTACCTACCCTGAGCGTCTGTGTGTATTGGGAGATGAATGAGGCACCATCGCCCAAAGTGGAAGTCCTTTCCTGGTTGGATGATGGTAACAGCCCTGCCCCGTTTCCCCGGGGCATTTACTTTGGACTTGAGAGAACTGTGAAAGCTCATCTGGAAACCTGTCAAGGCAGGTGAGTGCCTCTCACAAACCCTGCGGAGGACACCATCCCTGCCTCCGCTACCATCACAACAGCAAACGTTTGCTGTAACCCATGGTGTGCAAGGCAGAGGGCCCAGTGATGGAACGAGGAGTGAGGGACAGAAAGAGGAACGAGGGACAAGGTAGCATGCCAGAAGAGAAAGGAAGGACGTGTCTGTTCTCCAGGGGTGCTGGTCTGATGTCCCTGAGTCGCTGAAGCAATGCCAGCAGCATCTTTATGGGCAGAAAGAGCAATGCCCATAAATAGCAGTGCATCCTCCCACCAAATAAAGAACGTGGCTGGGCTCTGATTCACCTGTTTATTCAAGCTATAATTACTGAGCCCCACGGCAGAGGCTGCTGGCCTCCACCTTATTTCCTGGGAATGGAGCTCTTTCTAGCAGCGTGCATGACTGCCGGGAATAAAGGAACACCTCCCAGACTGTCCTGTATCTATACATGAGCAGCGACCACTTAATGGGGTGTAGCTGGATGTGGTGTGCTGCCTCCCTAAAGGAAAGTGGCTGTGCCCCAATCGTCCCTCCTCCTTCCTGCTGTCTGACACATGGATATACAGGCTAGACCTGAGCGTCTGTTTCAGGCTACGAGAACACTGGGAGACGGTGGAGCAGAGAGTGGAAGCGGCCTGGATCCCTGAGGGCTGTGTGGAGCCGAGCTGCCCGCACCACCCGCACTGCCCACCTTTGGAGGTTCTACTTGAGGGAACAAATCTCGTGTGGTTGGGCCAGTGGTAACTTGGGGTCTGCGTCCCTTGCTGCTGAACCTAAGTCTGGTGGATATAAGTGCCTGCTGTGCATCAGGACCCTGTGCTAAGGACTGGGACCTCGAGAATGGATAAGAGGAAGACAGCCCCTGTGCCCAGGAGCTTACAGTCTAGAGAGAGACAGATCAGACGTCCATCACGCTGCCTGAAATAAGCCAGGCTGGCACGGAGCAGATGCTCACAGTCTGTTTGCTGAACAAAGCAGGAATTCCAGGTGAACTGTTGAATCCCGTCAGAGTGGACCATGGCTTGGCCCCAGCAGGTCATAGAAGGCACCGGAAGGCACATACTGCGCGATCTCACTCACATGTGGAATCTGAAAACGTTGATCTCACAGAAACAGAGAGTGGAACGGTAGCTACCAGAGACTGGAGGGGTGCGGGTGGGAGCTTGGTCAACAGGTGCAAAGCTCCAGCGAGAAGGGAAGGACAGCCCTGGTGTGCTGTGACACAGCAGGTGAACAAGGATGTGTCATGTATTTCACAGGAGCTGGTAAAGAGAATCTCAGTGTTATCCCAACACAGAAGTGGTAAAGGTCAGAGGGGCTGACACGCTAGCCACCCTGCTTTGATCATTATGTCCTGTGTGCACACGTGGAAGCACCACACTGAACCCAGAAACATGTACAATTTTCATGTGTCAATTCAAAACAAACATTCATTTGAAAATACGCTAACAACACATTCACCCAAGCTGATAAATGCAGTGAACTAAGGGAACGGCTGGCTTGTTAAGTCAGAGAATAGAGACAAACGGCACATCGCAGCCAGACAGGGCTTCTAGAAGGAGGCAGGTTTTAGGGAGAGGTATTGGAGAAAAGCACGTTATAAGAAGTTGTCTCCTATTATTAATCTTGACCAAAATTCAGAAACAGGAAGAGAGAGGCTGATCCATCTGTAGCCGACAAAGGCATTTGTGCAGGGCAAAGGACCCAACCCCTCGGGAGAGAAGGGGAGCTCCTTGCATGCCTGGGCCTTGGGTGTGTCCTCGGTGGGTCAGCCCTGGGGCTGCAGCTGGCTGCCGTCGGGTTGCATCCAGCTCAGCGAGCACTCAGCCACTAGCCCTGAGTCTCCAGACTACCTGGGACACAACGGCCCTTTGCATGAACACAGGTTCCTGGGCCCTGCTCGTTGGAGATTTCTGATTTTGTGGAATTAAATTAGTATTGGTGAGATCTAAAAGCCCAAGGAATAGCGAACTTCCAAAAACTCAGATTTAAAAGGGGCCTCAGGTTGCCTGGCCCAAACAGCCACAGGGCTGTGACCCCGTCTCACCTTACCTGCCCACACGGCTGCCAGCAGAGGCAGATTCTGCCTTCCAGGGCTGCAGTCCTCTCCCTGCAGGAAACTGTACTGGAAGGAAATCTGGCCCGGGCGCAGGGGCTCACATCTGTAATCCCAGCACTTTGGGAGGCCTAGGCAGGTGGATCACTTGAGTTCAGGAGTTTGACACCAGCCTGACCAACATGGTGAAGCCCTGTCTCTACTAAAAATACAAAAATTAGCCGGGCATGGTGGCAGGCAATGGTAATCCCAGCTACTCGGGGGCACTGAGGCAGGAGAATCCCTTGAACCAGGAGGCGGAGGTTGCAGTGAGCTGAGATTATTAATTGCACTCCAGCCTGGGCAACAGAGTGAGACTCCATCTCAAAAGGAAAGGAAATCTGACCCCTCCTGCAGTGCTGCCTCTGGAACTACCGAAAATAAGATTAATCTGTTTTCCAAATGAGCAGCTTTCAACTCTGTGGGGCCACTTACCACGGCCCTGGAGGTCTCCTCTCTCCCGGGCTAACGACCCTCACATCCCACAGCCATTTCTCTTGTACGCTTCACTGGCAGGACCCCAGGCCTTGGTGCAGCAGCCTGGGAAGGGCAGCCTCCTCTCGGCCGGCCGGGGATCCAGAGAGAAGGGAGACGGTGGAGACGGGAATGTGTGTGCTGCGCGTTCTTGTGGTAATTCCACATTCAAAACCCCACATCCTAGCTGTAGCCTGGAGACGTCGGTGGAGGCTTCGAGACAATTTAGTTTAACCTCCTGAGTTAGTTTCCTAGGGGTGTCATCACAAATGACCCCAAGCTGGGTGGCTTCAAACAACAGAAATGTGTCCTCACACAGTTCTGGAGGCTGGGAGTCGGACATCACGGCAACAGGGCTGGTTTCCTCTGCGGCTGTGAGGCGGAGTCAGCTCCAGGGCTCCCTGCAGCTCCTGGCAGGTGTGGGAAGCCTGGTAAGTGTGGGAAGCCCAGCAGGTGTGGGAAGCCCGGCAGGTGTGGGGAAGCCCGGCAGGTGTGGGGAAGCCTGGCAGGTGTGGGGAAGCCTGGCAGGTGTGGGGAAGCCTGGCAGGTGTGGGGAAGCCTGGCAGGTGTGGGAAAGCCTGGCAGATGTGGGGAAGCCCGGCATGTGGGAAGGCTGGCAGGTGTGGGGAAGCCTGGCAGGTGTGGGAAAGCCTGGCAGGTGTGGGAAGCCTGGCAGGTGTTGGGAAGCCTGGCAGGTGTGGGGAAGCCCAGTAGGTGTGGGGAAGCCTGGCAGGTGTGGGAACCGTGGCAGGTGTGAGGAAGCCCGGCAGGTGTGGGGAGGCCTGGCAGGTGTGGGCAGCCTGGCAGTGGACGCATCACTCCAGCCTCTGTGTCTGCCTCCACATGGCCTGCTTCCCCGTGTCTCTGCGTCTTCTCCCCTTCTCTTCTCCTAGGAGTCTTGTCATTGTATTTAGGGCTCACCTAAACCAGAATGATCTCATCTGGAGATCCTTATTACATGCACAAAGGCCCTTTGGCCAACTAGGGTCACATTCTGATGTTCCTGCTGGACACATCTTTTGGAGGTGGTACCAGTTACTCCAGCAGAACTCTTGCTTTACAGATATACGTCGTGGGCGGGGCAGAAGGGGAGCAGCGTGCCAGGAAGCCCCCGCAGAGTTCGTGAGGAACCTGAGCCTCTGCACCCCAGGCCCGCCGTCCCCACCCTCTCACATGGAGAACGCAGTGACCCAACGGGATAGACGGCAGCAGCCACAGACCCGGCGACGCTGCAGAACACGAGGCGTCTTTGCAGGTCTCTAGTAATTGTCGCTTACTCTTCAAGGGACACAATTATTTTTAAAATGCTTTTGGATGGTAAGCATTCTAAACCATAGACACACGCTCTCCCAGTGTGCTTCAGAGCATACAAGTTTTGAAAATGTCGTTGGCATTTTGCTGGTAACTCAGGGTGGTCGACGCCGAGGGGCAGCTCTGAGCAGGGGCTGGGACGTGATCCTTCTGGCTCTGCCCACCGGCTGGGCCGTGGCCCCTGCCTCAGATGCCCCCACATCCCTGGCTTCTGGATGTGGCGACAGCCAGCTGTTTCCCCCAAGAATGGCAGCCCATTCATTCGCCAGCTCCTAATGGGATGTGATGGAATACATTTCGAGGGGTGGGTGGAGATATTAATCTTTGTTTTGCTTTTCCTATTTCTCTCCCTCATCCGATTTCAAGCAGATCACCCCGCTCTTTGTAATTTTTTTGCCTCGGGGATTTTTTTCCAGGCAGAAAGCCAAAGCAGCTCAAAGCCAAAGCCTCTTTCTGTCTTTTGTAAAAACCTAAACCCATTTCATAAAAACCCAAACCCAGGAGGTGAGTGGGAGGGAGAGGGTGAGATTCACTGAGGCTGGGAAGAGGAGGAGGCCGGTGTCCCCAAGGGCCTGAGGTCTGATTACAGCCCGGGAGGCTGGAGTGCACCCGGCTGCCCACGTCGTGGCCCGAGGCGCTCATCCCTGGCCAGGATCCCCAGGCACCAGGCAGGGCTGCCTAAGGCAGCAGGACGTGCAGGCATGGAGTGGCTGCCCAGGAGGCAATGGTGACAGCTCCCTGCCCTGCAGCTTTTCTGGGCACCATGGAAGCTTCTGGATCCTGGACCAACTCTAGGAGGGAAGAGAGTTGCATTTTCTGCCAGCCCCACAGGGTGGGGCTCCAAGTTGGGTTTAAGCTGATTTAAGTAAACAAAGAAATGAACCTTCCGGATTTCTGGACAGCACGGCCCTCCAAGTTCATGGTCTGAGGGTTCTTCTTTGCTCCGAATATACAGCAGCATTAGATAAAACATTTCAACAAAACAAGCCAAGCACCGCAGACACCAAAAACAGACAGAACAAAACCCGTGGGTGGGGTCTGAGATGGGGCTTCTGGTCTGGAACCAAGGTGGGGGAAGACCTGGCACAGCTCCCAGGGTGGGGAGCAGAGGCCGCTGACTGCACAGAGAGACCCCCACACAGAGAGGTAATAGAAGGAAAATTCCAGCCGAGTGCTTCCCGGACCTCAGCTTCCAGATTCGAGAACCAGGATGTGGGAGGAAGCAGCCTCCTGTCCAGGACCCAGGTAAGGCACCAGCAGCGCCGTTACTCTGTTTGTGATTTATCCGATGCTCTGTGGGACGTGAAACCTGGTTCACAGAGGGCATCCCTCGAGGCTGCAGAGGCCGATGCAAACCCTCTGGGCAGACAGGGTTGAGTGTGTGTGAGGGGTATGAACAGGGAGAGAAGGAGGAGGGTGGAGAGGCACGGGGCAGAGAGAGGACCAGAGCAGTCGGAAAATGACCTTAAAGTAAGTTTTTTAGGATCTTAAAGAGAAAAGATGAGACACAGCTTACAAAGAGTAATTATACACAAAACTTGGCAGAAATGGAAAAGATCAGAACTGATGGAAACGGAAAATATCGAATTAATAAACCTGAAAGTAAAAAAGGTGCTCATTGAAATAAAGAGGAAGCCAGCAAATGTAATAAAATCCTCAGCAAATGCAGGCAAAGAGATCTTGGGTGAATTGAAAGACAGACATAAGGAATTCTCCAAGAGCGCATCACACAAGAGCAGGTGAGAGACCAGCAGAGTCGCCCGGGCAACTCTGGCCCGTCCTGGAGGAGGTCCGGGAAAGAGGAGCAGCAGGTGGGGAAATGATATTGAACAGACAGTGCCAAGAAGGGTCCCAAGCCCAGGAAAGATGCAACCCTCGGGCTGGAAGCCACTGTGAGCAAGTCCACTAAAGATAAATCCCATCTCTGTGAGCAGCTGGTCGAATGTGCCCGTAAAGTGCCTGCTCGCTGTAAAAATGCTCCTCGCCTTTGTGCATTTATAAACAATAACAATAACATAGATAGGGCAAGACACAGGAAACAACGTTCCTTGTTCAGAATAAGGATGTAGATACCTGAGACTTCATGAGAAAAAATTCGGAGTTCTGAATATAGACTGAAAATGAAGGACAACCACTACCAAGAACAGTAATAAAAATCTACAGCCGCCAAACCATCTTGGGGGGAAAAGAAAAATCCAAAAATGTTTTCATGCTTAGAAAAGGCAGAAAAGATAAAAGCAAGGAAAATCATGGTAAATGAAATATCACATCCAATAATAGAAACAATTTTGATTATTTTAATATTAACCATAACTGTAAAGAGACAAAACTCATGTAAAAAAAAAAAAAACAAAAAACTGGAGACTACAGGATTAAACCTTCATCCCTCAGATTCCGCCAGAGGCTTCATACAAAGACACACATAAAACAAGTGCAGAGACTCTGGTTTTTGAATCATTTTTCCGAGACAGTCTCGCTCCGTCACCCAGGCCAGAGTCAGTGGCGCTATCTCAGCTCACAGTGACTTCTGCCTCCCGGGTTCAAGCGATTCTCCTGCCTCAGCCTCCTGAGTAGCTGGGATTACAGGTGTGTGCCACCACGCCTGCCTAATTTTTGTATTTTTAGTAGAGACAGGGTTGTACCATGTTCGCCAGGCTGGTCTTGAATTCCTGACTCAGGTGATCCACGCACTTCAGCCCCCCAAAGTGCTGGAATTAGAGGTGTGAGCCACGTCGCCCTGCAGGTTTTTTTTTTTTTCTTTTTTGTTGAAGAATGAAAAACAGGAACACGCAGCAACTGCAGATAAAAGGAAGAGGATGTGTCAATAAAAAAAAGTTACATTTACGGCAAACGCCTTCACAGGCTCTAAGGAGTGGCTGGGCTAAGTCATGCGGCGGGAATGATCCCTGATTCTCAGGGCTGACAACCACACGGTGACTTCTCACTCCACCGCCCGCGGGCCGGGGCTCTGCTCCCTAACAACCTGACGGGAGCGGCTCCACCTGGGACGTTGCCCGGCTCACGCAGAGAGGGCAGGGAGACTTCCAGAACCACAGGCTGGCTCTCAGTGCTTCTGACGGGAAGCATTGCACACCGCTTGGCCCGCACTTCTCTGGCTGGAGCCCTTCTGAGCTCCACGGGGAGGGCTGGATCTTCTCACCTCAGGCAAGGGAATGCAAACCACTGCAAACAGTGACAGCCCGCCCCACTGCACAGAACGCCACGCTGCCACAAACAGGCCAGGCCGTCACCGGAAGCTCGCGTGTACGTAAGAAACAAACATTTATGCACAAGTAAGATACTTTGCTGACGCGGACGCACCACCTTGGGTGGTTGTCTGCAATTTCCAGTTGCTATGGGCTGAACACCTGCGTCGCTCCAAAACTGATAGGTTGAAATCCTCGCCTCAGCATGACGGAATTAGCAGGAGGGGCCTTTAGGAAGCGATGAGGTCATGGGGACAGACCCCTCTTAAATGGAATCATGCCTCTTACTAAAGAGGCCCCGGAGAACTTCCTCACCGCTTCCACTGAGTGAGGGCACAGCCAGAAGCCGCCGTCTGTAAGCCAGCAAGTAGCCCTCAGCAGACCCCGGCTCTGCCTGCGCTTGGACTTCCCAGCCTCCACAACGGTGAGAGACAGATCCTACTGTTAAGAAGCCGCCCACTTCTTGGCATTTGGTTACAGTGCCCTGAACGGACTGACACCTGCTCCTTCTGCTGACACTGACGGTTACTGGGACAAGAAGGGGAGGCATCAAAGATTATCAGTGGGGGGTGGGCTCAGTAGCTCACCCCTGCAACCCCTGCACTTTGGAAGGCTGAGGCAGGAGGATTGCTTGAACTCAGGAGTTCAAGACCAGTCTGGGCAACATGGTGAGACCCCATCTCTACAAAAAAAAAAAAAAATGTTTTTATATTTCGTACCTGTGGTCCCAGCTACTTAGGAGAAGGGGACAGGAGAATTGCTTAAGCCCCAGAGGTCCAGGTGCAGTAAGCCTTGATTGTGCCACACCGTACTCCAGTCTGGGTGACAGAGTGACACCCTGCCTCAAGAAAAAGAGACTCCTGGGGGAACTTGGCCTCCATTGCTTTTGTCCCTGTTCCTGCCGCAGCCCCCCCACCTTCTGAAGAGGCTGCCTCTGTCACTGAGTCATGCTGGCCACAGCCAACGGGACGGACCGGGGCGGGAAACAGACACCAGGCCACTCCAGCACCTTACCAGGTGGCCTCCGACGTGGCCTGGCAGGAAAGCTCTGCTCCACAAGCACACTCTAAGGCAGCTCAGGGCAGGGCCATGGGACCTGGGGAGGCCAGCGTGGGGACGCGAGGCAGAAACCGGGGGGGGGGGGGGGGTCAGGGGGACAGCCGAGCTGAGACTGGAGGAAAGGGAAGGGGCCAGCTGTCCTGGCCGTGGCCTGGAAGTACAGTCCTGAGAGCCAGTGACGGACTTCATGGCTGAGCAGTGACGGATAAGTGTGTCCTCGGTAGCATTCCCGCCCTTCGAAAGGCCTGCTCTGAGCTGGTGTCGTTTCTCCCGGCTTCCTGCCTCTCTCCAGCCCTAACCTCGTCAACCCCAGCAACTTGGGTACCTCTCTCCTCCTCAGAACAGGACCGATCTGACAGGCAAGTGTGTCACACTCATAATCGTAATATCACACTTAACGCAACCCTGGGGACCTTGGGTGGGGCCGCCTCTCCAGGACGTATTTTTATTGACGCTCCGCAGGACTTTAAACTTCATTCTCCATTTCATGGCTGTATTTGAGGTGCCTAAGATTTCTGGAAGCCCAGGCCCTGCAGCAGAAAGTGCCCAGGGCTTGCAGGTGGAGGACTTGATTTTTATTCCCGGCCCGGCCAGTGTTCGGCCTGTGACCTTAAACGAGATTTACACCCTCCAAGCTCTGTTTTCTTGGAATGCGAATATCTTCCCCGCCTACTTGATGAGTTCATATGTGTGCACGCACCAAGCAGACGCCAGTCCTACGGGGCTGTTTGATCTGGAGGCTTGGATGTTTCCAGAGGGTTGCCCAGATTCACCCACCTTTCCTGTGTGTGCTGTGAAACACTGACGTTCTTGCTCCCCGGGGCCCCTCCTTCCACACCCCATATGCTTCTCAGAAAACAGTGACAAACCTCAGATAGAGGCTTCTTGCTCACCAAATGTGAGCAGGAACATTTAAAAGGTGTATAGCCAGGCATGGTGGCTCACACCTGTAACCCTAGTGCTTTGGGAGGCCAAGGCAGGAGGATCACTTGAGCCCAGGGGTTTGAGTCCAGCCTGGGCAACATAACAAGACCCCATCTCTAAAAAAAAAAATAGCCGCGTATAGTGGCAGGTGGGAGGATCACTTGAGCCTGGGGGTCCAGGCTATAGTGAGCTGAGATCATGCCCCTGTACTCCAGCCTGGGTGACAGGGTGAGATTCTCAGAAAGAAAAGGGAATGAACAAATGAAATAAAGAAAGAAAGATGAAGAGACAGAAGAAGGGAGGGAGGGAGGGAAAGAGAAAGAAGGAAGAAAGGAGGGAGGGAGGGAGGGAAGGAGAGAGAGAAAGAGCGAAAGAAAGGGAAGGAAGGAGGAGGGAGGGAGGGACGGGGTGAGGAAGAGTATACTATTTAAATGTAAATCACCTGTAATATTGAAATACCTAGCTAAAAACATAAATCTTACGGGGCTTTGGGGCGATTCCAAAACGCTGCCGTTGCTGGGGAATCTGTAGATGAACAAAGGGTCTGATATTTTTTGGGGGAGACCTCCGGGACTGCTGGGTCTACCTCACCTCCCAACATCTGGGTCTAGACCTGACGCAGTTGACAGGAAGGTGACCCAGACACCTGTGGTCCCCTGCACCGCACGGAGGGAGGTTGGTTCCTGCCCTTGGGTCTGCCCTGCCTTCGAGAGAGGCTTTGCTGTTGAATGACTCGGCATTTAGGGAATGCCACGCCTCTCTGGCATAAAGGTGCATGGCTTTGCCGTCTGGAAAGGCGCATGGCTTTGCCTCTGTTCTCGGGAGCCGCTGCCGTTCTGCTGGAGAGCGAGCCGGGTGGGGTGCCGCAGCCTCTCGTAAAGGGTCCTCGTAGCCTCATGAAATCCGTTGCTGTTTTCCTAGGTCTCTGGCCCTCTGTTAATTACTTTTACTATGTCGTTCTGGAGCCAAGAGCAATACTTGTGTCCAGGGTGGGATTAAAAGCTTTCACCGTTGTGGTGTCATCAGGGAGCAGGAAGGGCACTGAGTGGGGCGAGGGGTGCGCTTTCCCATCACCCTTTATCGCCCGGAGGGACGAGAGGGTGGGCCCCGAGGCCTCTCCGGGAAAGCCGGTCCTGGATCTGCTCCAGGTCTAACCCCCAGTCCCTGGCAGGGAGACGGACTAAGGTTTCCGAGAGAGAGGGGAAAGGTCATATTTTAAGGAGCTTTCAGGCTTTCTGAGTGTTAATTTTAGGTCATAGAAAGGTGAAGCAGGCCGTTCCCAAGCTCTAAGAATGTGACGAGACCTCTGTGGTGCGGGCCGGAGGCGGTGGCTGGTGCAGGAGCGCAGGCCCGGAGTGGCGCGGTCCCTCGTGGGTCCACAACGTGGCACTGTGAGCTGCGGCGGAGCCTGCAACCTTGGCCCTCCCGACCTGCCGGGAGGCTGGCACGGTTTCCGCCAGGGGCCACACGAGCTGAAGGCCAGCACTTTGTCATTTTGCATTTTTAGATTATATTTTCCCCTTTTCCTCCTTTTAAAGGAACTGGTGTCCAGAACAGGCTCGTGCTGAGCTGTGTGTGAAGGTGGGCCGAGGTGGAGGCCAGGCAGCCAGGGGCCCCCAGGCTTGACTTGTCCCACGGCACGCCCGAGCCCATGCCAAGCCTGCCCAAGATGGTGAAGGGGACACCGTCCCAGGCGAGCAAGCTGGCTCAAAGCCAGTGACAGCTTTCCCAGAGGTGAGGTGTTCTAGGGAAAATGACACGCTGCACACTCCCTGCCCCATGGAAGTGGGCCCCAAGCCCCTCTGTGGGGGTGCACAGGCCTGGGAAGCCCACCCTCCACAGGCGCCCTGGGCAAAGCTGGGTCTGGCCTCTTGCAGACACTGGGATTTGGCCAGAGCCCCAAGAAGAGGGCAGCTGAAGTCTCTCCTCCTGCGGCCCTAGGCTCTGCCCCAGGCTGCCCGCAGCCCCTCCGGACGCCAGAGATGGGGGAACCAGGGGCCACACTGTGAAGGGGCCCTGCCTTCGCTCAGATGCCCTCTCTGGCTCTACCTTGCCTGGCCTGGTGGGATGGAGGGAGTGGAGCCAGCTTCATCACCAGTGGTCAAATGTCTCCACCTCGGGCCAACTCCTGCGGAAACCAGACTCAGAGCGTCCAGTCCTCCCTGGCGGCTGAGGAGTCCTGGAGTTCAATGACATGAAGTTCCAGATGGACGCACCTGTGTTCATCAGGGCTGGAAAGAGCTGAGGGCCATGCACTGGCTTTGAGGCTGGCGTAACCCCTCTCCCTGCTCAGCTACCTGGCCTCCCAGTGGCTAGAAAGCTGGGCAAGACCAGGCAGATGCAGGGCCTGGGTTCCGGACACCTCAGCCTCCGGCTGGGCAGAGCTGGGAAGGACCCACCCAGCACAGCACAGAGGAGGTGCTCCCACCCAGCACAGCGCAGAGGAGGTGCTCCCACCCAGCACGGCACAGAGGAGGTGCTCCCACCCGGCACGGCACAGAGGAGGTGCTCCCATGCAGCACGGCACAGAGGAGGTGCTCCCACCCAGCACGGCACAGAGGAGGTGCTCCCACCCAGCACGGCACAGAGGAGGTGCTCCCATGCAGCACGGCACAGAGGAGGTGCTCCCACCCCAGCACGGCACAGAGGAGGTGCTCCCACCCAGCACAGCACAGAGGAGGTGCTCCCACCCAGCACACCACAGAGGAGGTGCTCTCACCCAGCACAGCACAGAGGAGGTACTCCCACCCCAGCACAGCACAGAGGAGGTGCTCCCACCCAGCACAGCACAGAGGAGGGGAGGTGCTCCCACCCAGCACAGCACAGAGGAGGTGCTCCCACCCAGCACGGCACAGAGGAGGTGCTCCCAT